GTTGTGTATTATCTCTGCAGAAATCGCCATCTTGAGCACCCTCACTTCATTGAAGTTCCCATTTCATCTCACGAGGTGCTTTACCTCAGAGGTCAGTTGATGAAATTGAGCGAGGCCCGTGATTTTTTTTTTGTGTGGGGGGTTTAATTTTCGAACTGGGTTTTTGTTTGTAGATGTGATCAAGCGCCTGATTGAGCTGAGAGGAAAAGGGATGCCTTCTATGTACTCCTGGTCCTGTAAGAGGTACCGAGATGCTCGCTGTCTGTTTTGGTAAAAATCCCATTTTTGGGTTTTGATTGATTTCTGTTGAAATGTTGGTTTTTAGGAGTTATAAGAATGGATTTGTGTGGCATGATCTCTCTGAAGATGATCTGATACTTCCAGTTCATGGCAATGAGTATGTCCTCAAGGGCTCTGAGCTCTTGGATCAATCTCCTCCAGGTAATTTTCATTTTAAAAAATTTTGCAAGAGATTTAATTTTGAAGTGTTAATTTTAGTAGGGAAGTAAACAAAATTATTGGGTATTTTCCGTTTTTGTTCAGATCGAACTCATAATGCAACTATCAACCCAAAAGCTCAGTACCTAAAGGCCCCTCAATCAGAAACACCCGCCTCCTCCAAAACCCTAGAAGCTTCCTCCTCTTCCCCTCCTCCAACTGTGATTAAAGAATCAAAACCTCCATCTCCACCAAATCAGGAAGACGATCGATCTCCTACATGGCCTCCTTCGTGTGAATTTGGCTCACCCGGGCCATCGGAGTTCAGGGTTTACAAGCCCACTGGTGCTGCTGATGCTTCCACTCAAACTGACGATGGCGGAAAAAAGAAAGCTCGTGAAAAAACTCAGAGTACTTGCACTCGTGGAGTCTCGACTGATGATAGCCCCCCTGTTGATATTGAGCTCGAAGATGGTCGACAAGACCCAACTTCGAGTGCTTCTTCCTCTGGTGGAAAGGTGGAAACTTTGGAATCTTTGATTCGTGCAGATGCGAGGAAAATGAATAGCTTTAGGGTTCTTGAGGAGGAGGAGGTCTTTGCGCCCACTGGACCTAAATTGAGGGCTACTAATGTATTGATTCAGCTTATTACTTGTGGATCGCTTTCAGTTAAGGATCACCATAGTTTTGGGCTTGTTCCTACCTATAGACCGAGGTTTTCCCAAATGAAATTTCCATCACCGATGTTTGCTGGTTCGATGATGTTAGGTGAGCTTGATTGTTTATCTGAGAATCCAAGGTTAATGGGGTTGAGGATTGAGGATAAGGAGTACTTCAGTGGGAGCTTGATTGAGACCAAGAAACACAAGGAAGAAGTAGGGGAAGTTGTGGCTACACTTAAGCGCTCATCTTCCTACAATGCAGACAGGTAAATGTTAACTTCCTTTATGATTTATAAGAACTTAAGCCATTTGTACATGAATAGCCTACTGAACCTGGTATCTGATGAGTAGCATCACAATATTCGATTTAGTTATGCGGGCATCTTGCAATCCCCTTTTTTTACAAGTTGGTTGTTGATATCTATACTGTATCATGGTCTCATATATTGGGTTTATATATTGGTTAGGTTAGTTGTCCATGTCCCAGAGTAAACATTATAAGGGATCACTGAAGTTCTGGATTTGGATTTTGCCTTTGTTGGCCTAAAGGATTGCAGAGTTAATAGAACAGATCTTATAAACTAGCATACGAAAAGGGGACATTGTGATGATATTTCTCGTTGGCAGTGACTACGTAATCAATTTAGTTTTAATGAAAATAAAAGTCTTGACAACCATTAAATCATGTCATTATTAAGTCATAACAACTATCAAATGCAACTATGTGGGTATGATATAAATTTATAAACCATGTTATTGTCATCTGATTGTGAGTTCGTTTGGGCCAAGAACAAATTGGGACCATTCATCCAATGACTTCAATTTTTGTCAGTCCTCAAACATAGCTGTAATTTGTTGGTAGCTGAGCTTTGGTTTGTTGGTAGCTGAGCATTCAGTGTCAGTAGTAGGCATGACAGTTGAAGATAATAATATTCTTCTCTTAGAAGGGGATATCATTAGTTCTTGGAAGGAAATTTTTCTGGATTCAATGTGGTGAAAAGATAGATGGTAACTGATGACAATACTGGATGTTTTTCCATCCAGACCATCTTGGGAAAGATGATTTTACGTATGTAAACAAATCCTCGATGAGAAATGTTATGGGCTCCAATTATTTTATTTCATCTGGTAAATTGCTATTGCTAACTGTGTCCGATGAGCTTCATTTTGGTGTGGCCTATCACATGTCTATTGCAATATGGATGTTGCTTCACTGAAAACGTTTATTTGGGAAAGAATAATTAAAAACCTTAAGGTGTCAGTTGATGTATTGTTATCTGGTAAGTGTGTTATTTTTGCGCGGCATGCTTTAGTATCCCTTGGACCATAGAATAAAGGCCTGAATCCTGTGGCCTGAGCATCTGGAAACAGCATAACTTACACTGAGTTTGACAGAGTCTTTTAGGAGGAGGGAAGGTTTCCAATGCTAACCCTCTTAACATTATGTTTTTTTACAATTTTTGACTTGGAGGGGAGGGGAGGGGTTTCGAGTGCAATTTTCTTGAAATACCAATGTTGCCCTACATGAGAAAACTAAAAGGCCTTCTTTTTCAATTGTTTCCCAAATAAAAACCCTACCAACGTCATAAGCAGCAAAAAGAGAGAAGAACGGTTGCTCCAAAAAAAATTAACGCTCAATTCTTTCGTGGCTCATCCCCTAATCCAATCATGTAAGCCTTTCTATTCTTGTTTGTTACAGAGTACATATGTATATGACAGTTTCCTAGTCTAACCAAACTCATAATTGTTATGTTATTAAAAGGGCATATTGGTCAAGTAGCTCCCCTTCCCTTTCCATTGTCTAATCTAAACAAACACATGTTATAGTATACCCTCACATCCCCTTGTTGTCTATTCAAACGCAAATGACTATATTCCATCCCTTCACTTTCCGCTCCCTCCCTTGGGTTTAGGTCAATTACTTCCGTCCCCTCCCCTCCTTTGTATCCAAACCAACAGTCAGGGTCATCATCTGCTTTGTGCCAAGAGATTATCCTTTATAATTGAACTAGTGAATGTAATACTACCAGAACTAGACAAAGTCCCAATCGAGATAGTAAGATCTCCTAGCTTCAGAATTAATTAGATATGAGGGTTTTTCCTTTTCCTGACAATGTTTTACTTTGGGAAGGTGAAACTGGACGTTCAATGTTCTACTAGAAGTAGAATTTTCATTTAAACAACTTGTAATTCACTACCCACCAAGTCGATGTTACAAAAATCAAACTGAAACATGAAGCCCGTGATTGATCTGTATGACTAGACCTAGAACTAATCATTATGCACATTCCTTTATTCATTACTTTATCTTTTTTATTCTTGATCATATTTTCTGTTTACTTTGAAGCTTTGGTGACTGATTCCTTTTGTTTCTGGAAAATTGTTTATTAATGCATATCACTTACATTCTATGCTAACATTTCTAGCTAATGTAGGGGATGCAAATCACCAGATTCCAAATATGACAAAGACAAGCCAATGGATTCCTCACGCTCAAAATGCCTTCCTCGAACAATAAAGATTGGAACACCAAGCAAGTATTACAGAAATGGAATAATGAGGTCACCGCTATCAGACTGCCCGA